TTACATCTGAACAAGGAGCACTATCCACATCAGAGAAATAGTTACTGACTTCTTAAAAAGCCAACAAACCTGTGAGCATATTGTTTATCTCCGAAGAGGACTGATTTTATTGTAAATACATATACACACAACATTTCTATACTGCTAACCAATTCATCAAGGACAGAAGTCAGACTAAGCCATTCATTTCTAATTGTCAGAGTTAAAATGGTCCTCTATGAAACTGGAGCCTCTGATAATTAGAAAAGAGACCAAGTAGACAACATACCAGAGATCATTGCTCAGAAATTCCCTACCTCAATTCCTTTAAAACACCACCTAGCCCTAGCACTATTTACTTTATTAATTCAATCTAAGAATTGCTTATTTTTCAGTTTGAGGCAGTTGTTCCACAATCACTATATTGGACCAGAAACTCCCAGAATGACATCCTCAGTAGTGAATATCAATACAAATAACCCATCCAAATCTTCTATTATGTTCTTACTGCCTTTGTTCTTCCAGGGTCTTACTCATTCTGTGCCTTCATCACATATCTGTCACAAAGTCTCACTAGTAGATCTCCTTGAATGGTCAGTAACATCTTTAGTTCCTCCAGGTCCAATGAAATTCCTAAAATACACCACTCAGCTTGCCTTCACATGAGAACGCAGATTATCACTTCTGCCTTGAGAAGACATTCAAACCTGTGGGAGGTGGGTGTAAAATATGACCATTCTTACTAGCTACCATAAAGAATAAGATCTGGGGAATCAGATCTATCAGATTTACATTGTACCCATGACATTTTTCCCATTTGATGTCACTTCGCACTGAAATGCCAACATAAACTATGGAAAAAAATAAACACCAAATAATTATCCTGGAGAAACCGAGCTGTTTAATATACTAATTGCACACATCAATACCTACTGGAAATCACTATTTTAGTAACTAAAAGCAATGGTTTAATTCCAGTGTGATACCTTAACTCAAAGTTATTAGAAATATTTGTTCAGATACAATTTATATTTACAATGCCTCTGGTAATGGGAAGATCTGCTGGAATATCAATTTTTTGGTGACAAAACTGTATAACTCAGTTGTTATATCTATGAACAAGGCACAGTTAAATCCTCAAAGGCAAGAGTCAAATAATAATCGGCTTGATATTTCATGCTGAGCAGAGTTTACAACACCTTTTAAAATAGTCATGTCCGATATTTGAAAAAATATCATGAGACACAGTGAATATCCTGAGCAAATCGCACTCGGACAAAAAACCCACCAGGATATATCCTTCAAATAAGACCACGTATGTTTTCTGCTCGTTGAGGCTGGATTTTATGGTAAATTCCTTTGTATCAATTAAGCTGAGGGAGACCTCAAACAGAAGAAACCTTTAAAAGCATATGTTGTGGCTTGTGGCTACAAGGCACTGTTGTGTTTGACAATAACGAGACAAAGATGCTTCTCAGGAAGGTCTCTTATTTTCTTTTTGTCTCAAGTACTTTTTTCTTCTTCTTTCTACTCTTATTCTTTTTCACACTGTCTAGGTCACTTTCAACACTAATAACAGAGTATCTGGCCTAATAGCAGAGAGTCCCCTTAATGTCTGCAAATCCAACTACCAACCCTTTATTCAGACTCTGGAAGGTTTATGAAAGAGGGTAAGAAACCCTACAGAGAAGGTATGGAGACCTTCTAGAGACCAAGCAACAGGAAGTCAAAGGAGATGCAGATCATAACATAAATTCCCTCTAGTTCTGATTTCAAGTGTTTTATTGCTCTGTTCATCCCAGAAGCATAAGATGACGTAACATTGTGTCAATCTACCTGAGACAACTGAAAGCTTTCAATAGGAACAAAGGCAGGAATTTTGATGCCAATTATTTCTATATAGAAAGATTTTTACATGCATATTTTCTCTAATAACATATATTTCATTATAGATTTTGCTGTTAGAAAAGGCAAACTAAATGCTAAGATAAAGTACACGTGCTGTAATTTTGTTATGCACTGTTACAAGTTAAATTGAAACACAGCTTACACACACTTCCTAAAGAAGGCTTTATGTAATGTTACCTGTAAATAATCACAAACTCTTACAACATGTATCCTTCTCTTTTCGAGACACGTTTACCCATATTAGAATATTGCATTATTCAAACAAGTAGGGCTAAAAAATAGGTAGGTGAGAGATAACATGACATAACTCTGGGCACGGCTGTACCTCCGTCTCTCAGACACAAAAACAAAGCAGAAAAACAGTATCACTATTGCTACATAGAATACCTGAACCAGAACATGTTTTCCTCGCTACTATGAGCCACCTCCAAGAAAAATGAAAGACCTCCATTAACAACTATGCCTTTCGCAACGCTTAGGTGCTCTCACACATCCAGCAGACCTACCAGTACTTTCTCCAATTACCAAAGGTTGGCTCATAGGATGCTGTATAATCAATGGATATCAAGATGTTACAATCACAATACACTCAAGAGAGTTAGGCAAAGTGGACAATGATAACAAGAGAGAATAAATGGAAGGCTTACCCACAGAACACCAGCAGAGGCAATCTCCAGAAGAGATCCTTCCCCCCTGGTAGCAGCTCTTCAATAGGTCTAGGAGGGGTGCAGCCAGGCTCCACCCCTTCCGGCAGCACAGGTGAATTGCCTTCAGCTGTGCTCCTCTGGCTGACTCATGGCTCGCCTCAGGTGGTCAATCAGAGGTTCAGTATACAGTTCCCATACAGATGCGTTTGTCTGCATGCACTGCAGATCAACATTTGGTTACACCCAAGAACACACACAGCATCGCATGGTGGAAGCACGTTTCCCAGCAGCTTGCAGATCAGGTAGGTGCCCATCAGAGGCACTTGTACTGCATTCTATTAAATTCCTCTCTACACACAAAGGTAACAGGTTTAGCATACAACATCCTGAAACTAAAGAGAACTTGTGACTCCACTGGGCAAACAGGCAAAATGAGATGCCGGCATCAGAGCCCTGATTGCAATAATTGCTCATAATGGCTCTAATCAGGCTCACCTGGTGATTTCACCACCCACAGTCTTTTATGCAGAGAATGAGTAAGCACATTGGTGAAGGCTCTGTTGCAGGTTTTACACTGAGTATAAAATAGGCCTGAGGAAGCTAAATCTGAATAACTATTGCCTCACTTGTTAAATACTGAAGTAAGGAACAAACAAGTAAGTATCAACTTATTCTCAGATTCTCTTAATATTTTCCTCAATATTTTTTTTTCCTCTTGGTCTTTTGCTTCCTACACTCTAAGAACCCCTTCTTTTACTAGGGAAGGAATAGACTGCCTACTACCTTCCCTTGTGCTCAATTAAGGCAATTGTTTTGCTCACCTGTGCTAGATTTTTTTATTCAGCTGTGTCAGATGTAATTACTGCAAAATGTACAGTGTAACTTCTTAATGCTGTATAGAGGATCTGGTTGGTATCCTTTGGTTAGAAAACTATTAGCTAGTCAGATTTACTGCTGTATTGGGGAGGAATTCTCCTTGTTTTCTGCATATATTTCAATAACGGATAATATCAAACCCCAAAGTGAATACAAGGTGAGTTTAGCTGTTTTGTATGAGCATCCTAAATTATAAGCCTAATATAAATGGAAAAGAACTGAAGTGCAGTAGACAGCATTGTTTCACCTACTTTGTTTCCTTGTTACCAGAGCCTGTTCCACAAACACTGCAAATCACTGTGGCTCTTTCAAAAAATTACTCATTTTACACAGAAAGAGGCCCAAGGCTTTGATCACAGGAAGCCTTGTAAGATGTTCAAATCCCCAGCCTCTCATTAAGTAACAGGGAGAGCCTACAGCCAGGAACACAGCATATTGCTGGGTGAAAAGGGAGACTGACCTGCATGGCCACACTGCAGGATGTTTGTGGGTGCAAACAAGTGCAAACTGTTGCCAAAACCATTCTAGCTTACTAGATTTTATTTATCCATTTACTGGGGGGTGAGTGTAACCATTTTATGATAATTCTGAGCCAGCAATGCGTGCTTGCAGCATAGAACACCAAATCCATTCTGAGCTCGGTTACAAGAGGGGTGGCTGCAGGGCAAAGGAGGGCATCATGCCCCTTTGCTTCAACCTTCTGAGGCCCCATCTGGAATGCTGCATCCAGGCCTGGGGCCCCCAGCACAAGAGAGATGTGGAGCTGCTGGAGTGAGTCCAGGGGAGGCCACGAGGACGCTCAGAGAGCTGGAGCACTTCTACGAAGGCCAGCTGAGAAGGGTAGGGCTTCTTCAGCCTGGAGAAGGAAAAGCTCCAGGGAGACCTCACTGGGGCCATGCAGTGCCAGAGGGAAGCTTACAAGCAGGAGGGAGAGCCACTTGACTCAGGTAGACAGCAATAGAACAAAGGCGAACCAGGGTTCTACGGCACGTGAAGATGGCTGTAAAGGACGCGGATACGGGCTTATTGCAGTCTGTACCAATCCCTCCTTTTCCTTACCGGGTTGCGGTTAAACCACAACGGAGCTCGGCCGGACCCGTCGCTCAGCGGGAGGCGCTGTCGCCCACCAGGTGTCGCCCTCCACCCGCCGCTGCCCCGCGCCGCAGACATCCCGTCTCGCCGCTCGCGCAGCGTGGGCGTCCTCTTATAAAAATACAGCGGCGTCCTCGGCCCCGGCAGCTCCCTGAGCTCCGTTTCTGCTATCGTTTAAAAGAGCTCTAAGGAACGCGCTTTAAAGACGCGCGCTGCGATCCGCGCTACGGCGCAGCGCTTACAGAAAAGCCCTAACTGCAGTGATGAACCCGCCTCGGGCCGCCGCACCGTGAGGGCTGCCTGAGGGGCGACCGTTACGACCGTTAACGGCTCTCGCAGCGCCGCGCGCGCGCTTTGCACGCGCTCCCTGCTTGCATCTCAACCTCTCGCAAGCGCTTCCGGCCCGCCGGCCACGCTCCTTCCCGCCCTTCTCTTCGCGCGGTTGCCTCTTCGCTCGGGCTCGCGGCCGGCACTTTGCAGACGCTCCCTGCGCCCGCCCGCCCGCCTTCGGGTGGCCCGGCCCCCACGGCGCGGCGCTGCATAGCCCAGCCCAGCCCGCGCCGGCCTCCGCCGAGGGACCATGGGCGATGCGCTCCTCCCGGCGCGGGGGGCTGCGGCGCACGGGCGGCGTCGGAGGAGGTGAGGCGCAGCGGGAGGCTCTCGGTTCGGGGAGTGCGGGGCCGCCGTCCCCTCAGGCCGCGGCGGCGACGCGGTCGCGATGCGGCCGCTCCCTCGGCCTCTTCGCCGCGGCCGCGCGGGGCGGCGGCCGCCTCTCGGCGCCGCATCGCCCCTCGCAGCCCTCGGGCGGCCCGGCCCGGCCGGTAGAGCGGCGCGAGAAGCGGCCGGAGCTCGGCCTTCGCGGCCCGGCCGTCCTCGTCACCTTGCGTAACGACCTTCCCGGGCACCGCCGCGGACGGGCTGCCGCGGGGCCGAAGTGCCGGCGGAGCGGCGGGCGGACGTCGGAACGTCCGTGCTGCCGGCGGGGATCCGCGAGCCTTTAGGGAGAGAAAAAGGTTTCCTGAAAGCTGTCACCCGCCTGCCGGCTTCGCCGCGCTGTCTCTAGCAGCGTTTGGCCAAAGGTTCTGTGGCGGAGAGGCTGGGTGTAACGATGCTCCGCTTCCAGGTTCGCTCGTCGGCGCTGTGCGCTGGGATCGCACGGACGCGGCCCCGTGCGAAGGGCGCGGCGGGCCCGGGGCGCTCTGTGCGCTCGGTCGCGCGAACGGCGGCTTCGGGAGACCGCGCCGAGCCTGGCCCGAGTTCTGTCATCTCCCCGTGGCGAACTTAACTTTTCCGTGTGTGCGGGGGAAGATAGATGTCCCCTTGTGTTCAGGAGCTAATCTAGGGTGAGTCTTTCTTAAATGCTAATGTAGGGAGTGTAGGTTCCATCTTTTCCAGATGTGGTGTAACGCGGATCTCACCTTTTGAAGGCAGGTTTCTCTTCCAGGCAGTGAGGTCAGGAAACTTCAGGGGATTCCTTCTTGTTAGGTCCCGATACGACAGTCTCTCTCCATGCCTACAGCAGGAATGGAATACTCTTAAAATGAAGGCTTGCTCTTGAGATTTGTGTTACTTGAATTTACAACCCTGTGTGCCTGACAAGCTCTGTTGCTTCTCCCCATGAAATGCTATGATAGCCTTTTCAACAGTGTGACTCATATCCCTAAATACAGGAGTGAATTTTGACTTAGTACAATGCAAGTGCTTTATCTCAGCAAACAGCCTTGTGTAGAAAATGCAGAGACGGTGGAGGGAATGTCACTTGCTGTATCTATTAATCTTTGTCCTCAGAAGGACAGCATTTGAGGTTGTTTCCGTGTTGGAGTTCTGTCTTCATTCCCAATTCAATGAGATAATGTCGGTTCTTTCTAAATAGTTTTACCATTTCGTGAAGGGCTGAAAACCATTTTTAAAAGGAGGAACTAGTTTGTTCTTGTTGTTTATTACTGAAACTGTATAGCCTGGGGACATTGAGCCCATTTCAGTCTAAATGGGTGATGTACCTTTTTCTTTCTTCCTCTCTGTGTAATGACTGTTCTTTGTGAGAAATTCTGCTTACTGCAAAACCCACGATTCACTCAGTTACTTGTGTCTGCCAAACCGAAGGATAGGAAAAAATCCTTCATAGGTTGTTGGTTTTTTTTGGTGTTTTCATTGCATATAAGATAACTTGCCATACTACCTCCTAGTCTGTATCTGTCTGAGAGAATATAGGGAGCAATTTAAAGTGAAGCAGTGTGTTTAGTGAAAACTGTTCAGTGCTTTTTTTAAGGTTTACGGATTGTTTTCTCTTTCTGTTAGACAGAATGTGAATTTGTTTTGTGTGAGTGTGTAAGGATTAAATAATATATGCTTCCCTTTCCCGAGTCGTTAATCCATCTTGCTGACTAGGAAGAAGCCGGCTTGTACAGCCTGAACTGAAAAGATGCTGAAAGACAAAGTGGCTGAACAGTGAATGTAAGATCAGGTTGTTTAAAGTCCAGAAACTAAACTGCCTAAAACTTGGGATGCAGCCAGCAACCCAGAGTGCAGATCATCTAAAATCCTTAATCTGCTTCATGAGGTAGAATCTGGCAAAATATTGAAGTGCTCTAGATTCCTAAAATGATTTAGAATAAAGACAGCTGTTGTCAGTCCTAAGTCATCTTCTTCCAACCAAAATCCTTTTCCTTGATTTAAACAACAAAAAACAACAAAAAGCTTTATGGCTGGTATAAAGGTTTACATGTAACTTTTATACTAAGATTTATACCATCAACTTCTGTACTTGAGTCAACGTGTAGCATCTTCGTAGCCCTACTAATTTCAGTCTTACTTACATCCTTGCAATTTTTTTTTTGTTGTTTCTGACATTGTATTCTACTGTAATCTACCAATTTTGCTGCCCTGTAAGATAACTTAATGTGCAGTTTTCCTCCTTGTGTAGGCTTTCACATTTTAACAACACTTTAGGTATTGTTGCTATTAAGTGCCCTGCACTGACAGGGTAAGTTGATTATAATGGTGTGGTAGGTATTTTGGAGACTTTTGTAAATGCAGTATTTGTATTTTGAGCAGGTGGAATTCTAAATAAGATTGCCTAGGTGTCCCATGAGAGAATGGGAGCTTCAGTTCAATGTTATTGGCAGGAGAGGTGAGTGGTAATGGAGATATAGTGGCAAACATGCTTTCATGGTCTAATTTAGTGTATACTTAGTCTATTAAATAGATGGTGGGGAGAAAAAAAAAAATCAGGTTCTGATATGGCTTATTTATTCATAAGGTTCCTTTATGTCACGTTGTTCCCAAAGTACCAGCAGAAGTCACTAGTTTATCCTGATTTGGAACCACAGCAATACTGCTGCAGCCACTTGGCACTGAACATCAGGAGTAGCTGCTGAAGAAGGTGAGTGTGCTGCACAGTGCTAATTGGCTGGGGAACCTGATGAGGAGAGACTCAGAAATTGAGCAGTTTTCCTGTTTTTATGTCTTCAAGGGACTGGAGTAGTACAATGCCATCCTTTAACTTTCTCTACTTTTGTTTTTCCTTTATCATTTTTCTTTATTATTATTATTTTACAGTTACTGTAATCCATAGCCATGGAAAGAAGGTAAACAGGTTTTTATGCAAATCAGCATTAGTTCAGTGAATGGATTTGGATATTGAGATAGGCATTCTAATTGGACAGTGTTTGGGGACTGTAATTATGGAGAACTGGTGGCCCAAGTGCTGTTAGAGCCCCTCGGCTATGGGGCGTCTGCTTTTCATGACAATGCAAATTTTCGTCAGGGTGGGAAGCCTCCCTCTTCTGTTCCAGACATAATAGTTCAGCTGTACCATGAGATAAATTGTCAGGGTTTTGTTTTTGCCTTGCAAAAAGTTGTCTTGCTGGTTTTAATCAGGTGAAGCCTTGAAGCCCAAGGTCTGTATTCATGCCATCAAGCCAAGATATTGCTCCTTCCAGGAACTTCTGCTAAAATGGTGGCATCTGTCTATGTTTGTAGCACCTTGTGTACTAGGGAGACACAAAGCACAGAACAAAGAAAATCAGTTTGAGGGACAGGAATTCTCTCGTTGAATGCTCTAAGTAGCAAAGTCCTTTTCATGAGAAAGATTGTAAGTCAATGATGTGATTCATTTGATTTATTATTCATGGTTTGTATGAGCTAAGAATCCTGTGATCCTTGCCCTTCTTTGAGTCTCAGAAGGTCCTGTTATTCCTATTAGCTAAGTACATTTCTTCATACATCCCACAGGCATTCCAAAATGTTTAACCTTGACTATTAGTCCAACTAACTGCTATTTGCCTTACTGCTTTTTATTTCCTGATAAGAGACAATAATATTTGACAGTAATCAACCGTTTGGTTTGACCTCGTTCCCCTGACAAAGGAGTTCTCATAGGTAAGAAATAGCAGGCAGATGGTTTTACAGTGACTTATTTTTCTTTAAATAAGAAAGGAGGAGTTCCATACTGATAGAAAGAGCTGATTTCACTTTTACCAGCTGTTGTTCTTGGATCGTGTTGTTTGCTGCCTTCTTCATGTAAATTTTTTTTGCTGTAAAATATATTCCTTTTTGCTGTATTTCCTTGGAGTAGCTTTATAATAAACTCATTCTTCAGCCTTGTTAGAAATCTAGCAAATGAAGCTTATTGCTGTTTCCTTTCTGTCACCTGTTAAGGCTGCTTTTCCTTTCTTCCCTATGAATCAGACCAATCACACAAGCACTGTGACTGGTGCATTAGTGTTTTATGTAACCTGTGTTGAGGTTCTCTCGGAGCATTTTCAAATAGCTTCTAATCAAGTTGTCATTAAAGGTAAAAACCGCAGTGAATTTTCATTCCTGCCATATTCTGCAGCCTTGAGGTTTATTGACCATGTGATGTCTCAAGAGACTGAATCTTGACACACCAGTGCACTGGTGATAGTGATAGTCCTTGTCTGTAAGGTGTGTGACTGCAGTGGAGTAACACTCTTACAGCAGATCTTTGGTAGTGCAGAGCTATATGGGTACATTTCACTGGGGCAGCAATTCTCTTGGGTTTAAAACGCCGTCTCTTATCTCTCTCCTCCTTATCCCCTCCCTGCTCTCTCCATGTTTGTTCCTTTGCTGCAGAGAGCTGTTCTTTTCTCCTTCCCTGCCCACAGGTATATCGGATAGAATGAAAATACAAATCTCCAGGAGTTGCTTTAGTGCAGTTTTTGAAAGTTGCCCTTGAACTCTATCTTGGTGGGTCCTGTTTGAGTGCCGTGCATGCATAGATTTGATTTTCCATGCTGTAGACAAAGAAGAGTAAAGTTCCTGGAGTTAAGATACCATTGAGAAAGTTTTGTGCTGTACCATTTGCCCTCTGTATCAAACCTGCAATTCTTTCCTTTTCTTTAATTTTTGAGGGGAAGAAAAAAAAAAAAAAAAAAAGGAATAAAATTGAGGAATGTTTCTAATCTGGTAATTATCCAGCTTTTAGATTGTTTGTTTTATACCAAAGCATTGTAACAGCGTGCAATGTTGAAAGCTGACTGAAATTGTTTGCAAAGCCTAACTAGAGTGAATGTCCCACACTGTTCCCAGTCCCCTGTTGTGAGAAGACTATGTCTGTAAGAAAAATGCTTGTAGGACTAAAATGCCTTGAAAATGGTACCCTAAGTAACATGAACTGT